CTTCCTTCCTTCCTTCCTTCCTTCCTTCCTTCCTTCCTGTCAAGCTTAACTCCTGGAAACTGTCTGGACAAGTCCCTGCAGTTTTCTTGGCATAGTTCAGAAGTGGTTTGCCCTTGCCTCCTTCCTAGGGCTGAGAGAAAGTGACTGGCCCAAGGTCACCCAGCTGGCTTTGTGCCTACGGCAGGACTAGAACTCAGTCTCCCAGTTTCTAGCCTGATGCCTTAACCACAACACCAAACTGGCTCTCGGTTTGTACTTGTAGTACTTGTTCTTTTTTCTAATGCTGCCTCCTTTAAAATGGGTTACACAAAAAATAGTTTTAAATATTGAGAATTTTTATAATGCAATCATCCAAATTACTACTGATGAACAGTATATCTTATTCAGTGGTGCTTACTTACAAGTAACTGAATATGGCTCTGGTCTAAGCTATCACTGTATTCACATTTACAGGATTCCATTGAAATCTTGGATTTACTTGAATTTCCAAGTAAACAAGCATAAAAATCAATTGAAAGTTTGAAATCCTAAGCATAGCATCAACACTATAGAGCTGAATTTAAGACAGTGCATGCGTAGAATCAGACTTAAAAATTCACAGCTAAGAATCAGATTATAGAAGTGTTTATTATACCATCTCCCAAAGGAATAATTTTCAAACTCCTTTTACAAAATCCACTTATAAAAGCTGCTTATTTAGCAACCCTGACTTAACCCATTATTCTGAAGCCACAGAAGACATAATTAAGACTGAAAAGCTATTTGCGTTGAACAACAAAAATAGATTTATTAGGACAAAATATATATAGGTCATGATAAGAAGAAATACTTTACATAATAGACTCTAAATATCAAAAACTATGCTTATATTTCCCCCCTAATAAAATATAAGTAAAATAGTAGTCCTAATAAAACTAGTTTTGTTATTTATATAATATTGAGTGGTTTCAGACTGGGGCAAACTTATCCTCTCCATATTCAATAACACAGAGGGTAGAATCTAAACAACTTCAGGACATAATCTCCCCATTGAGCCAAAGGAAATTGCTTCTAATGAAACAATAGAATTAACATTGTTCAGTAGTGCAACCCTATCCATGTTGACTCAAAAATAGACTTTTGGAGTTTAGTGGGACTTCCATATATGTGTAATAGAGCTGAGCAAACGTAGGGGGAATTGTATGTACTGTATTGATTCCCACAAAATTGTTTATGACCCATATATGATAGTTAAATACTATTTCTTGTGTATAAAATTGGAACTGATTCTCCAGGAGAAAATGTTAAGACTATTCTATGGTATTATGATAGCAGTGAAGTTTGCCTTCTCTGCCACTAATGTGTTTGAACAGTCAGCCAAGCTCTTTTGAGGATATACTATACTCTGATTTTTCAGGATAGCGAGGAGGTACTGTCCAAAACATTATATTATAGATTTGGAAGGATTTTTGCTAATTTGGTTTCTTATATCCACAGAACTAGATACCATATTGGAAACACACATTGGTTGGATGACTAAAATAGCTTCCCTGTTTTGATGTTTCAGTTTGTTACCAATGAATGTACATAAATTGATTGAAAATATATCTCTTTTGTTTATAAATGTCATTAGAAGAGGGTGAATCTAGAATAGAAGTTGAGAATAGTTTAAATGAGGTTTGATTTGGTCCCTCTAAAGGCAGTAGTGGTGAAAGTTTATTAATAAATTGATCTGTCTCAAAGTGTGGTGAGGGGACATATAATAGAACAAGAGACAAGTGTTTCAGCTCCGTGTTTTCTTGAATTAAACAGATTATCTTAAATCCTTTTTTGGCCTAAATTCAGGCCAGTTTTAGTGACAAAGGAATCTTGGTCATGGTAGGTAATTAAAGGAAAACCTAGGCAGAAGAAGGGTATGTCACTGGCTCTTCTCAATAGCATTTGACAACATCTCTTGTGGAATCCTTCTGAAGATTTGGCATCTCCTGGCACCATTTTTATGTTGGTTCTGGGTCTAGCTGGCTGTTTTCTAATGATGGAGAGACTTTAATTGATCTCTTTGCTTTTAGCCTGTGAAATTCCTCAGGGTTCCATTTCTGTACCTTCTTTAACAGGTGCTTGAGTCACTGGAAAAGACTGAGTTGCATTAATATGTTTGTGATACCAAGACCTAACTCTATTGTTTTAATGAATGCCTAAACCAGTGTCTAGATGCTTTTTAACTGTAAATGTGGATTTAAAAAAGAGAAATTCAGTCCTGACAAGATGAAGAGCAGAGTGATCAGTAGACAATATATTCAGATTCATTGGTATACTGTATCTTTCATAAGAAGTATCATTTTTAATGATAAAAAATGACAAATTGGGATGTTCTTGCATCCAATATTATTCCTAGAAGGTCAAGAAGGCTTGTGTCAGGGCTAGAACTACCAACTCAGGAGAGAAAAGGTAGTCTAGATAGTGTATTAATGCATTAATCATCTTGTGTGTACATTACTGTTACGTATAATGCGCAAAACTGAGTGAAGTATTTGGAAATTAAAACTATGCAAAATGCAACAGCTAACATTTCTCTAGGAACGTGCTTTGTAGACCACATTGTTCCAACCTTTGTACAATTGCTTCTATTTTGTTTCAAGGTATCGATGTTGACTTCCAAAGTTCCCTTTTGCACATGGGATGTTTGAACTTCAAAATTCAAACTTTCTTCCATGTTGGGGGGAAAAAAGGAAGGAAAATCTATATGTCAAGCTTAAATGCTGATGACATCTTGATGACATACATGCAGTTTCTTGGCAATAATTTGCCACTGCATTCTTCTAGGATTTTTTTTTATTTCCCTGCCTAGTACAGCCCTAGGATTTCTGGTGGCCCTCATCAAAGTGCTAACTAGGTCCAGCTCTGCTTAGTTTTTGAGATCAGCAAATTATAATAATAAAAATCCTGTTATTTATCGCACCAGGCTGAGAGTCCAGATTATTTATTGGATTCTTGAAATAGGGCTTTTCAGTTGCAGCAAGAATTCCCTGCTGAGATACATAAGACTGAATTCATATTTATTTTCTTTATAAAAGCATAAAATCAATTCTTTAGCATCAGGTTTTTCTTATATAGTAGGATTTTTGTCACTCTGTGAATTTATCATTTTCAAATTAAACTACACTTAATGTTTCCTTTTTATATATAGTAAGTTTTTTATTGATTTTTTTTATGTTTTTCTGTATATTACTCCAGGTGACTGATAGGGAGACAATACAACTTACATATTTAATAAATAAATCAAACCATAGGTTGTAAAGTATTCTGATTTGCTGGAGTATTATAGAAAGAACATGGTGCATTTTCTGATTTAAGAACAAAAATAATGCTTTGCCTCTATAAATACTACTATGTAGTAATTCCTGGCAAGGAAAGCCAATAGCTGAAGTTATGATCTTAACCATGTTTAGTTGCAAATAAGTTTATCTTCCTCCAAATAAGTACCTTCTCCAGGAAGGAGGCTGGAGCACACTCTTAACCAGTTTTCACATTCTATTTAAGAAGTAGCTGGAAATGGTTGTTTACTAAGTAAAATGCATGAAATGAGCAAATCAGGAATCTCTCTCTGACAGAATCATGGATTTGGAAGGGGCCATTAGGCCATCAAGTCCAACTGTTGCTTAGTTCTGAGATCCCAGTTAAATCAATCCCATAGCCTCTGCCAAAATACCTTCATTGAAAGGGAGCCCACACCTGCTTTGGTTAACTGGTTCTACTGTTGTACTGTCTGCTAAACATTGCTATATCTATTTATTTTAATGTTCATTAAGGTAATTTAAATTCTGTCTTTCTAATCCTACAAGGGAACATTCATGGAGCTAACATTTTCCTTAAAAAGACTGTTCAGGGATCAAATCAACCAATCATGGTGAAGTATAAAGAGATGGTGACACAAATTAGAAAGTCCCAGGAAGCATTAAGACATATGTTCTACTCCCCTAGTATTTTTATTTCTGCTCCTCTCAGCATTTCTTTCCAAACTTAAGGTAACTATGGAATAAAAAAATTCACAAACAACATCAAAGAAAAACTAGTGGAGAGTTTATGATGCTCTGTTTGACATGAGCTACAAAGCTAATTCTCAGGTCCTGAATTCCCAGGTCCTATGAG